CTACCTAGCATGTTTCCCATCTTTTAATATGTTACTCACCGCGTGAGGCCCAAGGAATCCGCCACTTACGCGTGAGCCTGAGGGGAGTCTAAAAGCCCTGTAGGTGCGCGCCACCCAGAGCCCAGGCTTATCCCCAACTCACCTGTCTCGCAGCTCTGTACTGGAGCGTTGTCTGCTGTCACGTCTCGGGGGTGATCAGTCCCCGTGCGGGCCTCCAAATGTCGATGTCGTTCCCGGCCGGCAGGAAGGACACACGACAAAGCCTGGCAGTGGACAACCTTTTCTTTTATTTTTCTTCTCCGTACAGCCTGCCCTGGGATCGCTCCCAGCCGAAGCCTCTTCTGGTCCGCTCCCCGCGGCTCCTTTTGGGCTTCGCTCCGAAGCCTCTACCAGTCCGCTCTCCGCGGCTCCTTCTGGGCTTTTACTTCTGGGCTTCTTCTTCCCCCCCAGGGGTGGCACCAGTATATATACGGATACAGTGTCCAATCATGTTAAAGTAAGCAAGGCAAGCTGATTGGCTAACATCATCAGTTGCCAGGCAGACTATATTGTTGAGCGGGTTGCTTACGCGGTAAGCAGGAAACTAACGTGCTCGATGGGAGGGGTAATCTACCTCAGGCTTTACTCTTTACTACAGGCCTCACGTCCGCCAAGTGAGGCGACCGGGCTCGGGGCTGCGGCTCCCAACACTTTAGCTCACATTTTCAACTCACATTCAATTGGCTCCAAAGCAAGAAGGCCATGGTGAAAGGGTCCACCTCAGAGGAAAGCTGCTCATACGTGGTCCCCAGAAAGAGCGAGGAGGAGACGCAGGAGGAGGATGCACACTTACAGGTGCCTCCTCCATAGCCGGTGTCTCCCTCAGCGCCTCCTAGGATCAGCCAGCTATAGTGTCCCAAAACCAGTCACTGTCCACAAGCCCCACTGGTAAACCGGTGAGCCTTAGGAGGCCACTCCCACAACAGGCTGCAAAAGTAACGCCTTGGAAATCATTGAAGATCGTCCTTTATTTCCAAGCTGGAACGCTGAAGGCTGTCCGACGGGCTTGCTTTGAGTTTGCAAAGCTGTAGATATCTGCAGAGTCCTATCTGGACACCCAGTTAAGCCACCTCTCACAGCTCCGCTCCAGACACATCGCCGGCAGTCCGTCTATACTGTGCCCTTCACCTTGAGGAGAGAGGGTTTGACATCAGTGGTACATTTTTTATATTTTATTTTAAAAAGGGTAAAACTAAACAAAATAAAACAGGTCTGAAGAAAACAATGTAAGTGACACAGATTTCAAAACAAGACAACAGGAGATCAACAGTGGCTACCATAATGTCTCTTGTTTTCTTCTAAATAGTTATCCATATCTTCACACACAATTAATTCATACAAAAATGGTATTAAACTGATCAGAACAGAATGAAGAAGGCATTTAAGCCTTCAAAACCAGACAATAGGGAAGTAAACAATGGCTGCCATAATGTCTCTTGTTCTCATCAAAATAGCTGTTCGCACCTTCATGTATGTTGAAATTAAACAACACATAACAGAGTAAAACCACTCTGAACAAAGAACAGAAGCATTACTGGATTTCACAGATGACGATACAGAATCAGCAATGGATACCTTAGTGTCTCTTTTTCTTCAAAGTAGCTGTTCATTTAATCACGCATAATATAATCGATTCTCATAAACTGTTTAGGAGAAGTTCTAGGTATGCGTGAGTCTCTACATGCATACCTATCCTTTTTGTATTAGAGAGAAAAATAAAACAAGACAGATTACTAGAAAGCCATGAAACAAAGAACACAAAAAAATAGCAGTAGCAAAGAGCCCAAAACAACGACGATACAGGCCTTCAAAACAAGGTGGTAGGATCATAGCTAGGGTTGTTATTTATATAATGAGCTTCAAGATTTCCTCAGATCACCAGACACTAACATGCACGATTGTCCAATCCTATGAATGTTAGCTGCTTTGTTCCAAGAACTTAAGGAATTTGCAGCACAATCATCTTAGCTTTCCTCCATTGGCAAGTCTTTCAGTGAAGTTGGGTGTGGTTCCCGTCTCCAACCCCAACTTCAGGGAAAAGAGCTCAGCACTCACAAGGTTTGGAAAACCGCCCCTAATGTTATCGCTGAGAGAGCAGGGACTCAGTCTCACGGGTGAGGGAATGCCCCTGTGGAAAGACGAACACAGGAGACCGAGTCCACGAACAAAAACCCCCGGGAAGGGGAAACACGTGTCTGGAAAAAAACAAGATGATCCTAGAGATACTGAACGAGCGGAACTCAAAAGTCCCTTTCTGTTCTGGTTTCCTCACTCAGGGAACCTAATTGTTCAGAGGATAGAGGCACACAGGACAATTAATTTAATGAGCACGCTTTAGAGTGTAATTTCAGTGTCCTACAAGAGTCCCCATGAGCTGTTTCTGCAAATAGTGCTGCAGCCCCATCAGCCCCTCAGCTCGCCCTGCTGTGCCAGGAAAGGGTGAGCTCCTCTGCGCCTTGCAGAGGGCTGGACCTGATGCCATCTTCCTGCTGACCTGGCAGCTGAGCTGGACTTAAACCACCCGAGGCAGAGAGAGTGGTCAGCAGGTCCTGATGTGGGCAGCAGGTAGGAGGCGGCCGGTGGTGACGGACGAGGTGGTGAGACTCCCTTCATGGAGAGAATCCTAGGTGCCTAGTTCCCACGCCCTTCTGGGTTCTGTTCCACCCAGCATCCTCTCAGATGGTTTTCTCCTGCTTCTAAAAGCCAGTTCTGAAGCTCTCTGCCTCCCTAGCCCTGCACCTGCCCCAAGGACCAGCATCTCACAAGTGTTTCTTATCCAGCTTCTTATCTTGGCCTTGTGTCTTACAAGGGTCTCTATTCTCCTCTGTGCAAAATGTCAAGCATTCATTACCCTTGTATGCTGCTTTTGTGAACATTTAATTTGCTCTGTATTTTCCACAGTAGTGCATTGGTCTATAATTTATATACAGGCTGCGTAAGCCATTTAGCTCAGTGGCATAAGCACCTGCCCAGCAAGCACAAGGTCACAAGTGTGGTCCCAGGTACCAAAAAACAAAAACAAAAGCCCCATCATTCTCGCATTCTGATATTCTCCAACAATGTTTTCCTTGATAGTTTTCTTAATTTATAACTGTTATGACTGTCTTTACTTTTCTTATTTCTACCAAAAAAACATTTTTTCAGGAAATACTGGTACTTTCCAGGAATATGTTGTCAAATTTAAGTATGTATTGTTTATTTCTTTATGTCTCTTTTAGAGAGCTGAGGTACTGCTAATGTTTCAAAATTATTTTGAATTAGAGAAATTAGTATAATGTCATTTCTCTAAATATTTAAGTAATCATTAAACATTTATTCATAGCCTTACAAATCCCCTCTAAAGCACCCAGGAACAAGAGCTACAAGTTAATATGATTTTTAAAGTAGTGAGTCATGTTACATTGCAAAACTCCAGGACTATCCCCTTTGCAAGAAAAATAGGAATTCTGAACCTCACAACACAGTTTAACGAGGATCTTGGATTTTTGCAATGGTAAGTCAGTAAGACCCCCAAAAAGCATTATGTATTAATATTATTTAGGGATTAGAAATGTATGTAAAATAATTAATAAAGAAATGCAGGACCAAACAAGATACATCAGTACAGAAAATCAAAACCTTTATTACTGTACTAGAAATAGAGATATAATATGGAAGAATAGCATTCTTCATGGCATTAAACTTAAGTTGTGTTAAAAATTTCTTAACAAGAAATAACACAATCTACAAGTTAAGATAAAACTTCAAGAAAGCATACCAAAAAGTGGATTGAGATATACAGACAGGTACATACCTGTTACTGGAGCAAGCAGGTGAGCATAAAGAAAAGGGGACTCTTTTCCTAATTAATTTATAACTTTAATGGAATCACAAATAAAATTCTAACAGTATTTATCTTTTACCATGACTGGAGATTGCAACATTCATCCCCAGCGCAGATTGGCACCAGGAACAGAAGGACGATAGCAGTAGATAATCCCAGGTGACCTTCATGCTCAGCTTTTCGCTATATCATAAAGGTTTGAAAGCATGGAAAATAGTAGCTATGTCATAAGAATGTGAAAAAAAAGAAATATTTGGAATTATATGAAATATTTGAAATTCTATGACTTTTGAGCACCTGGCAAGAAGCCGTTAACTGATTACCTAGAAGGAAATATAAAATTAAGATGAACCCAAAATATATTCACCATAAGTAAAACTAAATAAGAAAGTTACTGTTCAAAATAGGCAAACAGAAAGAGCCATTTCCATATGGTGGTCATTTTGATCCTGTGAGGATCATACAGTGGAAAATGTAAGCTCCTATTCTGCACTTAGAAACTCTAGGATATGTTATTTGACTGTTGCAGGGTGCATGGTCTGAGGTAGGGAATGTGGTAATTAAAATGCTATAGAAAAGGGAATTACTAATGCACATTTTCTAGCAGAAGGACCAGCCAAAGAACAAAGAATGGGACGTGCAAAAATTGCAAAAAGCCAGCACAATAAACAAAGACCTTTCCAGTGACTGACAGATCTACTAGATTTAGGAGATTTTATTCCCAGGTGCACGCATCCGAACGTACCAGAGGAACCCCCAGGCATGCTGCAGAAGGAGGATTCCTTAGAGATGCAGACACACCCGTGTGTGAGTGTGTGTGTGTGCCACAATCAAAGAGGCCTTCTTCAGACCCAGAATGTGGGAGGAGGTCACAGGTGACCCCGAAATGTACACTTCTGACAACTGTCCTGAATATGTTCCTACTACCCTTCTGGGGACCAGCATTTGAGAACCGCTGACCTAAAGCTGATGTTTTTCAGACAAAAAAAAAGATAACTACGACTTGTCTGCAAACACCCAACAACTAGCCAAAAGGCAAGATTTCTCGAGTTCCCTGAATTTCAGTCGTAGTGAATGGCAAATCCCTGTAGAGTGAATCTTGATTTTATTTCTCCTCCCAAGCAAATTCAGGGGCCTCATGGAAACCGGGAATCAGACTGGATCCCCACACTTCCTCCTCCTGGGATTCACAGAGGACCCGGCCCTGCGGGCCCTGCTCTTGGCGCTGCTCCTGCCCATGTACCTGGTCACCCTCGCGGGGAACCTGCTCATCCTCCTGGCCATCACCTCCGACCCCCACCTGCACACCCCCATGTACTTCTTCCTCTCCAACCTGTCCTTGGCCGACGTGGGCTTCACCTCCAGCACCATCCCGAAGGCGCTGGCGAACCTGCGGGTGGAGGACAAAGCCATCACCTTCGCGAGCTGCATCTCACAGATGTTTTTCTTCATCTTGTTTGGCTGCCTGGAAAATCTCCTGCTGACTGTCATGGCCTACGACCGCTTCGTGGCCATCTGTCACCCCCTGCACTACGTGGGCATCATGACCCCGCGGTTCTGCGGGAGGATGGCTCTGGGGTCTTGGATGGTCGGTGTCGTGGGGTCCCTGTCCGAGACTTTGCCCGTCTTGAGTTTGTCCTTCTGCCCCAACACCGAGATCCCACACTTCTTTTGCGATCTGCCCGAGGTCCTGAAGCTCGCCCGTTCCCACACCATCCTCCACAATGTCGTGGTGTATTTGGGGACCATCTTCCTCGGGGTTTTCCCTCTGACTGGGATTCTTTTCTCCTATTCTCGGATTTTCTCCTCCATTCTGCGAATCTCATCAGCTGGGGGCAAATACAAAGCCTTTTCCACCTGCGCCTCTCACCTCCTGGTGGTCTCCCTGTTCTACAGCACAGGTCTTGGGGTCTACCTGGGCTCAGTCGCCACGCTGTCCACTAAGGCGAGCCTGATGGCCTCGGTGGTGTACACCATGGTCACCCCCATGCTGAACCCCTTCATCTACAGCCTGAGGAGCAGGGACCTGAAGGATGCCCTGCGGAGACTGCTCAGCCAGAGGGTGCGGGTCAGCGAGCGGCCCACGGCAGGACCCGCATGACAGCCTGGGCCTCTGCACCGGCTCGCGGGCTCCGCTGCTCCCCACACTTTAAACCAAGGCTCTCTTCACGTCTGCGCCCGGGTCTTCCCTGCTGTAGGCATTCTTTGTGACTTAGGCGATGGATCAGGCTTTTTGTTACCTAACGGGAACCTTAACTTTCTGGGAATGCTTCAGGGCTGATTGTCAGCTGTATGTAGAAGTGATTTGGGCATTTTATTTTTATGCATTTTGTTCAGGAGTGAAAACACACATAGGATGTGACAATGAAGTACATGTGTATAGGTAACGGTCAGATCAGGGAGTAGCATTTCTGTCTCCTAATCACTTTTTATTTCTTGTAGCTTTTTAATGGATTTTTTAAAATTTGTATTATTAAAAAAATTTGTATTGTTACATACGTGTTTGCCATTCATAATGACCACGTTCATCATAGAGGGTTTGTACATATATGAATATATAGAGAGAGAAAATTTGTTTTCGTAAATTTATTTAAAGAAAGACTAAACAAAAGAGAAAATGGGTAGAAATAGTACATTCATTCAGAGAAAAAATAAACAGTAAGAAATCACTAGTTTTTAGGGGTGTTAAATAGCTGACTATATCAATGTTTTTGGATCATTGAACACAGCTGTTTGCAGTCTCCCTGTTTGAATGTCCACCTTGTATGCTTTGATACTGTGATTTGAGCAACTATTCTCAAGATGATAATATGTAATCTATTAACAGGTGATTTCTTACTGTTATGGTTTTTTTTTTTTGTAGTTCTGTATTACGTGTACCCTTACACCGCTTTGTTTTGTTTTGTGTTTTTCTCTTTTTCCTCTTAAATAAAAAAAAAAGAAATCACTAGTTGATGTTTACATACTGTCCTTTTACAAATAGTTGTTCAAGATACAAAAGTGGAACATATAAAGTGGGAATTCAAACAGCGAGACTGCAAACAGTTCTGTTCAACTACCCAACAAAAACTTAGATATATGGTTGTCAATCCTATATGCTTAAACATACACACAGTTATCCATATCTTCATTTATGTTGAGATTAAACAAACTAAAGCAGGCTAAAATCATTCTGAACAAAGAATAATAGAATATACTGCTGGATTTCACATCATGACACTCTAGGATCAGCACTGGGTACTGTAGTGTCTTTTTTAAAATTTTTATTTAAAGAAAGACTAAACAAAACAGAAAATGGGTAGAAATAATACATACTTTCAAAGGAAAAATAAACAGTAAGAAATCACTAGTTGATGATTACAGATTGTCCTCTTACAAATAGTTATTCAAGATACTAAAGTGGAGCATATAAAGTGGGGATTCAAACAATGAGATCAACCAGTTCTGTGCAACTATCCAACAAAAACTTAGAAATATGGTTGTCAATCCTGTACACTTAAACATACATGCAGTTATCCATATCTTCAATTATGTTGAGATTGAATAAACCCAACCAGGCTAATATCACTCTGAACAAAGAATAATACTATTGCTGAGTTTCACATTATGACACTCCAGGATCAGCACTGGAAGACAGAGAATTTGTGTAAATATATACAGACAGAGACAGAGAATTTGTATATACATATATATCTTAATCTTTCTTTTTTCCATTCCTCTCCCCTCCCTCAGCCCTTCTCTAGTCCCGTTTATAAAAGCTTTGTCTCCATTTTTTCCTTGCATCCTCTTTTAAAGCCCTTTTCCTGTCTCACCCTTCCCCTCTGCCCTCCACGTTCCCCTTCCCATTTGAACACCTCCTTCCTCTACCTCATCTCCATTTTGCTTTTTATTTACCCTTTGGGTTTCTGACACAGAGAAGCAATGCAATACTTAAATTTTCTTATCTTATTTCACTTATAATTACGGCCTTAAGTTGCAGCCATTTCTCTAAGAATATACCAAGTTCATCCTTCTTCACAGCAGAGTAGTATTCCTTTCTATAAATGCCAAATGTTCCTTGTCGCTTCCTCTGTTGAGCACTTGGGCTGTTTCCAAGATTGAGCCTTTATTAACAGCGCTGCTATAAAGAAGGGTGTTCATGTACCACCCTGATATGATGCTTTTAACTCTCTCAGGAAGATAGCAAGAAGGGGAATAGCTGGGTTGAATGAAACCTCTAGTTTTAGTTTTTTGAGGAACCTCTGACTGATTTCCACAGCCGCTGTACCAGCTTACATTCCCTCCAACAATGGGAAAGAGTTCATTTCCCCCACAGCTTCACCAGCACTTGTTATTGGCTGATTTCTTGATAATAGCCATCATTTCTGGAGTAAGATGGAATCTCAGTGTTGTTTTAATTTGTATTTCTCAAAGGACCCGTGATATTGAACATTTTGTCTTGTATTTATTTGCTGTTTGTGCTTCTTCATCTGAGAATGGTATTCATTTTAGATGCCAATTTTTGAATTGAGGCCGTACCTCTCTACCTTTAATAAAATACACTGTAATTGTCATGGACTGTGGTCACTCTCCTGGGCTTTAGGACATGATAATGTGTTTCTCTTACGTGGTTCCCATTAGCCAAACTCTCTGGCCCTCTTTACCCTCCCTAATTCCTAGTGACCATGATTATGCTCTCAACTTGCACAAAAACAATTTCTTTTGCATTCACAGGGAACCAAGATTATGTTGTGTTTGCCTTCCTGGTCTTCCCAATAAGTCTGTCTCACATGCTTCAAATATGTCTTCCAAAGAGAAGGCATGTGTGCCTACACCATGGTGAAAGTGTTTTCTTGTGGGGACATCTACAGAAATGTCCTTTAACATGAATATAAACAAAATTAACTTGAGGTTTTCACTCTCCTTACCTAATTCATTTGCCTGTAAGTCATACTAATTTTATTGAATCTTTTTCCTCACCCACAGCATGGATTCTTCGATTTCCAGCACTTATCTTATGCACCTCTAAAGTGACAGCAGCCAGCTCAGGTCCTGCTTAGGTTTTCTTTTCTTTTCTTTTGGTGCCGGATTTGAACTCAGGACCTCGCACTTGCCAGGCAGGTGCTTATACCACTGAGCTACATCCCCAGCCTCCTGATTAGGTTTTAATGTGCACTGTGTCTTCACTGTACGGAGAAAAAGGTAGATGTGTGCATGGTTTAACATAAAATAAAACCTGAACCAAAACCTACACAGTTATTAATCGAATAAAAAGCTTTAGCAAGAAATTCACATCATCTGTGTATCAATGGTAACAACACTCACCCTGGCTGCCACTACACCAGTTTCTAGATACATTATCTCACTAATTTTCCAAAAACTCATGTAATGTATGAGTTTATTTTTCGATGCTGTAACAAAGGAGCTCAGGCTGGACCCTTCATAACGGTGGTTCCCAACCACTTATGGCATGAGGAACTGGTTTCCGGGGAGGCAGCATTTCTATCCTTGAGGGGAGGACATTTCTAGCAATGAGGGTGGTCCAAAGGCACACACACCTCGTGCCTCATGAGCTCACAGCAGGATTTGCACTCCTACGAGACCCTGACTGTACTGCTCTCACCGTAGGCAGAGCCCAGGCGCTAACGTGAAAGCCTGGGGGTGGCTGGAAATACAGAGAAAGCTTCACCCCCACACCCTCCACTCACCTCCTGGTACCAATCCATAGCCCAGGGGTCATGGGACCCTGCTGGGTGCCATGTATTTATCTCACGGCTGTGGAGGCTGGAACATCCACCGGGTAGCACGACCCTGATTGTAGTCTGGATATGTCAGACTTCATCACATGGCGGAGGACAGAGTCACAGTAAGAGCACTTTGCAAAGGAAGAGATGACACATGAGATGGGGAATCTCAGGAAGATGGGGAGGGTCTGGGCTCGCCCTTCAGGACCACCAAGTCCCACAGACAGCAGCTGCGGAGACCGCTTCTCAGAGCAGAAGCCTGGCCGAGACTCCACTGCTTCGAGCTCCCAGCAGGACCGCACTGAGGACCAATCTCCCCACACGGGAATGAACCTTGGGTCGACACAGAACTTAGGGGTCACGGTGTCAACATTCCTGAGAGAGAAGCTTATTTCTGTGAATGTTCATGTCGGTCAAGTTCAAATTAAATAACCTGAAGATGTACCTGAAGGTTCGAGGAAACAAGAACAGTGAAAGCACAAGCCTACTACAAGGAAAAAATCATAAATACCCAAGTGGATATTAATGAAACTGAGATTAAAAATAATACAAAATACCAATGAGTCAAAGATCTGGTTCCTTGAAAGAATAAGACAATAGACAAACCCTGAACCAACCAGCATTTGCAGAAGGTCTTTCTTCCTTTCCTATTATCTACCTTTTATTTTTCTCTTTAAATTATTTACACATTGGTTTATTCATATAAGAGTACCCTTGGGATATTTAATCTTGTTTATCTGCTTTATTTTACTTTAGCTATATTTTTAGGGGGGGTAATACATTTCTGATACATATTACATATCAAAGACTTGACAGATGCATGTGCAATCAAGGAGCCAAAATCAATGAATTTCAAGAGAAAGGAAATATTCTCTGAGTTATATAAATTATAATTTATATAATTATAATAATATAAATTCAAATATTATATGAATTTGCTGCATTTCTATTTTGTTGAATTCCTAGCAAGATCATGCCTTGTGATCATCTGTTACAGTACCTGCAGGAGACTAATTCAGGCCCTAATGGAGGTTGTTGGAGTATTTGGAGTGTCAAGAGAATTAGCTCTCATTTTGTGGCTCACATTTTGCAGATGACCTGGCTCTGCGATTTCTATATTTCTCCCTCAGCTCCACTGCCCCTGGGCTAAGCGTGCATGAGCTCTGACCCATGAGGAAGGACTCTGGGCACTGCAGGGTGCAGTCATAAGATATGGAGGAAAGAGCACAGAGCAGACCCTATCTCACCCTTGTGAACTTCCCCCCCTCCCCATTCTGTATCCATCTTCCCTCTTCACAGTGAAAAGCTAGTAACACGCTTTATAACCGACTGCATCTGAAAATAATGTATGCCTTGTTCTGACCACCACAGAATGAAAATACAATGTGACCCCGTGTATCATTCCCCACAAATAACCTGTCTCCCCGAGCCCAAGAATGCTACAATCTGGAGTTTCCCCAAAGGTCCACGTGTTAAAGTCTCAACCCCAAGTTTGGTGCTGCTGGAGGTGATGGATATTTTGGGGCCCAGTGGGAGGTCTTCGGGTCCTTAGAATGGCCCCCAAAGAGAATACCGGACCCCCATCTCTTTGTTTCTCATCCCACATACTAAAACCTTATTATCAAGGCCATTTGTGACATCATGGAAAGTTGGTGAAAACAGACTTAAGAGAGAAAATCGGCATGGAAGAGGCTCCACGGGCCTTCGTCCCTTGCCCATCTCGGCTTCTTCCCACAGAACCTTCTAGAGAGACAGATGGCTGGCCATGGGCTGGGGTGGAGCGGAGCCAGAGGCTGAAATCCCAGTTGGAGATGGGGGGGCCTGGGAAAGCTCCCTGGTGTCCCATTGTCATGGTTTATGTCTGTGGCCCCCAGGCCTCATGAGTGTGCATTGGGTATTTGTGATTGGTTCATGGTCTAGTGCTTGGATGATGGTGTCAGGGCTCCACCCACAAAGGGGTGGAGCCAGGATGTGATGTAATGGCAGGAAGAAGGTGTGTCTTGCTCTTTGCTGGTTCCTGCTTGCTGTCAGCAGCCGCCATGAACTGCGGCCCAGCCATGTCCGCCTGCCTGGGAGTCAACTGAGTGTGGACTGAAACCTCCAAAAACGGTAAGAAATAAACCTTTCCTTTCCCAACTTGGGCTTCAAGTATTGTGTCTCAGCAACGAGTAAAAAGTAACCAAGACACCCATGAAGAGTTTCACAAGCCAAAGCGCCTCCCGCCTCTAGAGGCGTGGACCCCAGTCTCTGCCATAAATGTCTGCACTGCTGACACGTGGACTGCAGATCGCTGGCTCCCTTCCCCGTATTTCTCAATTGGGGGTTGTATGAGAACCCTAAAGAATCATGAGGAAAATGTCCTCAAACATAAGTGCACTTGGATTCCCCCCCACTTGGGGCCATGTGCTCACCTGAAACTCAACTTGGTTTAGAAAAACCGAATATTGCTTTTTGAGACCAAGGCGTCGTCAAGGTTTTGCTAGAGTCGGGCTGCCCTCCGTGCTGTGATTTGAGTGTCTCGGTGCAGAATGATGGATTGGGGGGCCTTCGGGTACAGGGACAGAGCCCCCATCAATGGATTGAAGTCCTTCTGATGACCATGACCTAATGACTGTGCACCTTTCTCTCCTGATTTCGTCTGTTCTCACCGCTGCTGGCCCCCAACACAAGGTCTTAACCGATACCTCCACCCAGTGTTGGACTCCTTAACCTCCAGAACCATGAGTTTAAGTAAACGTCTTTATTGTATAAATCATTCCGTCTCAGCATAGTTCTACAGGAATAGAAAATGGACCAAGACACTGTATTTATTTATTTTGTGTCTTCCCCAAGCCTTTGGGGTCCAACCTGATTCTTCAGGCTGCAGGACAATAATATTCCTGCAGGACAGGACATAAACACCCATGAGACCAGCGGTGGGGAAGCGGACCCCGTGTTCTGCTCAGTTCACTGACCCAGTTATGGACCTAGTTATTCTTGGTTTCCAAATTTGGAATCTGTGCGGTAACGTGTTCATTTAGGTCTCAGGGTGTTCAAAACCCGCACATCCCAGAGAAAGAACCGTTATCTGCCTGTGTCCTGGGAGATGGCGCCTGAGTTTCTGAACAGCTAGGGGGTCTGTGACTGGTCACCTGGGGCCATGCCAGGTAGTCTATGATGACAATGTGATTGACGTGGGTCATGGTTTGTTCACATGATGCCTGGGGCCAGGCTGTATCAGACTGACCTATGGGGAAACTGAGGCATTAATAGCTAAGCTCCAAGGTGACCAAGGCTCAGTAGAACTTGGGACACCACAGCTCAGGTGGGCGTCCTGGGGCCATGCGTCATTGCTTGGAGAGGTCAGCACGGACAGTGATTCCTTTCAGGGTCAGGGGAGGTGGCTCCAGGAGACTCCTGAGCGTCCTCTCCTGGACTATGCTTGGTCCGCACCTTCCCTTTGCTAGCTGTAATCTCTACCATGCACTGTGATCGACCGGAGTTGGGGGAAGCGTGGCTCGTCTGAGCTTCATGAATCGCTGTGGTGAATCACTGGATCTGCTTTGGAACCCCAACACCAGGGCCATGAATACTGTTTTATTGTGAGCCAGTGGTTTCCTGTACGCTCTTCAGCTCCCCTCTGTTCTTGAGGAAAACAGCAAGAGCTGGCCTCTCTCCTCCTGCTCCCAAATCCAGGAGAAATCTCTCCCCTCCTGTCTCGGTCGCCCCCTCCCAGAGTTCTCCGCACACAGCCAGGGACAAACAGACACCTGACACCTTTCATTCCTGCTCCTTTATCTCACTGCCCCCCTGAACAAGCCAAGCAGACTGGGGGTTCAGCCGTGGTCAGCCGGGTTGCAGACTGTCCCCAGAGCGCCCTCCTCGAGAGGCAGCAGACCCGGAGGACCCTCACATAGCACTCTCGTTGCCAACCCGGCCTCTGGACACCCCCTTCTCCTGTGCCATGAGTGACTTGTAGGGCTTCCCCAGGCTGGGCATGGTGAGCTCCACTTCCTGCATGTCCAGCTCCTGCTGGCTCAAGTGCTCGATGACGGCCGCTCCGATCGAGTCCCCCAGCACGTTGGTCATCGTGCGAAGCCGGTCACTAGCGGAGGAGAGAGAAAAGCTGCCATTAATGGGAGACCAGAAAGCTTCATGGGGAGGAGACGGCAGCCGGGGTTGGGGGATTCCAGGCTCACACCCCAGCCCCGTCCAGGACGGCAGGACCTCAAGCCAGTCCCTCCTCCTCTTCTCTGACCTGGGTTCACCTCCTAAAACTCAGGCTGCGTCACCTCTGAGACGCTGGGTTTGTTCTTAGCACTGTGATTCTTTTTCTAAAGATGTCGTATCTGAATCAGACAATGAGGGGGTCTCACACTGAAGCACATGTAGAAAAAGAAGGTCATGACCAGGAGTAAACCAGGCCAGGACCGGGCAACAGAGCAGCTGACCAGCACGGGCTGCACCGCCCAGATGGGACCTGGCTCAGGGGTCAGCCTGCATACGGGAACCTGGACTTTACTGTTTTGTTTTCCTGTGAATTTACTGTTGTTGTTTTTAATGAAAGAAGAAAGGAAGAGAAGGGAGGATGGAGGAGGAAGGAGAGAGATGGAAGGAAGGAAGGAAGGAAGGAAGGAAGGAAAGATGGGAAAGAGGAGGAAAAGAGGGACCCCATCCATCTGAAAATGCTGTTCCTATTTCCTTTACCTGTGAACATTCTAGGCCACAAATCCACCAAAGCAGTCAATTGAAACTACTTTACACATCCTACGGGAAATTCGGTCCATCCAAATTCATCATTGAATGTTGTGGATACACTGAATTTCCTCTCCACTTATAAAATCTTTGTCTTTAAAAATAAAATATTTTTTAGCAGGAAAGATAAAAACGTCTGCTTTTCAAAGATGGGAATTTAAAAAGAAATCTGTCCCCTGGTTTTTACGATTTCTGCTCGCAGTGAGTCCAAGAGGGGCTGTCTGGGCTCAGGGGTGAAGCCCTCTTTTCCCGCCATTTTCCATGGCTAATTCAGTGGACGGGCGGTCCCCAAGCCAAAGCCTGCAGGTTTGCTCAAGGGCCCCCTTTTTCTCTTTAAAATTCTAGATTTCTGTCTTTGCAGGATCCTGCATGGGGGAAGTGGTCTGGGAAAGACGGTTCATCTCAGGTTGCGTCAGCTCTGAGATGCTGAATGATTTCTTAGCACGGCAAACACCGACGCCAGGGGCCGAGGGGCACTCACAGGAACCAGTCCACCGCTATGATCAGCGTGATGTCCTCCGTGGGCAGCCCGACCGACGTGAGCACAATGACCATAGTGACCAGACCCGCCTGGGGGATGCCGGCAGCCCCAACGCTGGCCGCCGTGGCTGTGATGCTTTGGGAGAAGAGAGAACACGAGAATTCAGGAGGGGGCCAGGGAGGAGGAAGGGCTCAGAGCCCCAGGGCGCCTGCAAAGTTAAATTCTTGAGCCGGCACAGAAAGGAAAATGCTGCGTGATCTCACTTAGAGAATCTTTGAAAGTCAGACTCCTGAAAGGAGACAGTAAAAGATGATTGCCAGAGGCAGGGTGTTTGGGGGAAAACAGAGATGTTGATTAAAGAACACACAGTTTCGGTTTTAAAATATCCATGTCGGCATGGTGCCTATAGCTAACAAAACTACACTGCATACTTGTAATTTTCAAGAAGAGTAGATTTTAAGCATTCTTTCAAAAAAGGGGAAAAGAATAAAAGACATGTAAGATGAGAGAAATGTTAATTAGTCTGATTATGACAATCATTTTTGGAGGGTTGTTTTGAGACAGGGTCTCCCTGTACACTTTGTAGCCCAGGCTGGTCTCGAACTCACAAGGATCCTCCTGCCTCCGCCTCCCGAGTGCTGGGATGACAGGCGTGAGTCATCACGCCTGGTCGTGACAATCATTTTATAATGTATCCCTACATAGATCACCACATTGTACACCTTTAAAACGTAATTTTTATTCATCACTTATACCTCAATCAACCTGGAAATCAAAATTATTGTCTATATGTGCAGTTAAATATATACAAAATAAAGGCACAGTGCTGGTCTAAAGGAGGTACGCAGGTTGCTTACATGGCTCCCTATAACTGCGACAGTTCAGCTATCAGCGTTTCAAAAACGTGGAACTGTGCTTCCTTGTTATCTCTAAGCAGCTCTGGTTTAAAGGCTGCTTTGCTGTATGTTTAAAGTGGATTATAATAGTGTGGTAGCTCATAAAACACTTTTTTTTCTTTTGAAAAAATTTGTATATGGGAGGAGGGTGGAGCTGGGAGGAAAAGAGAATTATTAAATTATTTAAAAATAAAAGGACTCAGACTGGGAAGACTGCATGTTAAATGCTGTCTCAGCTCTGACTGTCCACCCACCCCTCTGCCCAGTGACCTCTGAAACTGTTCCCCAGATCCCACAGTCATGAACACGGAGTCATAGAAGAAGCTTGCGGAGGAGAGAGAAAAGCTGCCATTAATGGGGGACCGAAAAGCTCCACGGGGAGGAGATGACAGCTTTGTCAGAACAGCGAGGGCACGCACAGCAAGTGGTCTTTGGAACCCAGATTCCGGTCCTAAGCTGGACAAACTTGGACTCGAACTCAGAACCTGCGTTTCCTTATGCGTGAGAGGGTGAGAGACACGGACTCTCAGTGAGCCACGGAAGATCACTGCGCTGGCACACAGCGAAAGGCTCAGTGGTATCTTTCACTGTTATCGAAAATATAAAATGTCATTTTTTTAAAGATCACCCAATTTCTCCTCTGTGTGTCCTGTTTGGATTTGGGTTCCTCAGAGAAAGAAAAAGGGTGCAGAGCTTTATGAGTGAGGTCTCAAGGCCGGGCCCTCAGGATGGGATGAGCTAATTCCACCAGGATCTAAGATGACAACTTGAAAGCCTTCGGATGGAGTTTACTTAAGGTCCAAACTAGGATCCCCCAAGCAGCCAGTCACAAACTGCTCAAGATTTCTCCAGGATTTCCCAGGAAATCTCAGGCTGGCCCATGTCAGCAAGTCTCTCCAGAGGTCCCCAAAGGTAGAAGTGATGCTCGGTCCTTTGGTCTGCTTAGGGACACTCCCTGAAAGGTCTCCCATCCTCTCCTTTGTTCTAAACTTCCCTCTACCAGTGACCTTAGAGTTTCCCCTCAAGAAAGGGATGACTTTCCTCCCTTCCAGACACCCAGAGTCATCCAGCCAAGACTCTTCAAAGAGTGTTGATGGATCTACACTCCCAGCACCACAGGCTGGACACCTCCAGGCGCTCCCCGGCTCGCACTGAGGCCACATCCTGGGGTGGGTTTCAAACGCACTGAGCACACCTAACCATCCCAGCCTGGACACCCAGGAGAAGATCTGCTATTTCCCTCAACTGAGGAGGATCTGTAGCTCAGCCTCTCGCTATGAGAGAGTCTTACATAAATCATTAACCTGGGGAGGGAGCCAAATTCAAATTCAAAGTAATTCTGTACACGAGGCACCCAGATCACTGCAAAGTCAAAGTATCGTAAACCACCGGGCACGTGGCATTTGTCTGTAGCTGCAGCTGCTCAGGAGGCTGATGCAGGGTGATCACTTTATCGAGGTTGGACATCCCTTATCAGAAATACTGGAGACCAGAAATATCTCATGTCTGGGGTATTTCTCAGATTTTGGAACACTTGCGTCTACATAACCCACTCTCTTGGGAACAGACCTCAGCTCGAAACAAGAAATCTATTTCTGTGCCACACAGACAGACCTTACACACGCAGCCTGCAGGTACTGTGTTCCTTTTTTATTTTTTATTGGCACGTGTTTGCCGGACAAAATGACCCCACTGAGAGCTGGAACACGCACACCACACTTTTCCTCCCCACTCTGTCTCGCCTTCCCTTCCCCTTTTGCAAAAGATCTCCCTGTCCGTTTCCTCCTATCCATCTTTTACTTGGCTCTTTATTGACATTTTGAATTTTTCTTTTAAAAGAAACCATGCAGTGTTTATTCTCGTGTGTCTGATTTATTTCAGTTAGCATCGCGGTCTTGGGCTGCGTGTATTCACCTACAAATCACTCAGGTGTACCCTCTTTGCGGCACAGCAGTACTGCAGGAAATTTTAAACACAGTTTAAACAGAAGCTGGGTACGCGTAGCCGTCAGAGGTCAAGCGTGGGGGTTTCCGCGCATGGTGCCCTGTCAGAACTCGAGAAGTTCGTTTTGTGAGCATTTTGGATTTTAGGCTCTCGGGTTCGGGGTGGTGCCTTTGGGATGGCTAAACGGGAAACACTGCAGGTGGAGCCCAGAGATCCATACTTACAACAAAAATGTGGAGTTACCACAGGGCACCCACCATTTCAAAAGCCTAGCGTAAAGAGAACCCCAAACACCACGCGAGGCAAGAAGGGGCTGCGCTGGGTGTACCAGTCCCCGACAATCCAGGTGCCAAAGTCTCACCGTTGGTGTCCCAGACACCCCCCACCCCAGCTTCCAATATCTGAATGTAACGCAGGTCTAGAATGTTCCTCGTATGTTCCGAGCTGGCTGATCATGGAGGAGCCAGCCTCGTCCGTGGATGAATTCCTAGCCAGATAGAGGAAATGGGGTCCCCTGGAGGAGGTGGGTTCCCGGGGCTGCACCACCCTTTCTGTCTCCTGGTTTCTTTTGCTGCTCGCTGGTCTCCACACCCTGAGCAGTTTCCTTCTGTCCCACCTTCCCCGAGCCCCTTCTGCCTTAGAGCCAGTAAACTATGGCCTGCAGCCTCTAAACCCTGGGAACTAAAATGAACCTCTCTTCAAATTGTGGGTGCCAGGTCCAAGTCACGAAGAAAGTGATCTAAAATAGCCTCTTCATGTGCATGTGTGGTGCTGCAGGCTGGACCGGGGCCTTTATCACCCCTGGCCATTTCATTTTTTTCTTTGGAGACCGAGTCCTTCTAAATCGCTGAGCTGTCCAGACTGCATCCTGGCAGGGCTCAGAGCGCCGAGATGAGTGGGGTGCACCCCTCAGTGGGCCCTGAGGCCTCTCCCCACTTCTGGCCACAGATTTCTCCTCCCCCAGCCAAGCCCGTGACCCCCCAGGCCCCGCCCGAGTTCCCTCACCTGATGGTGGTGATCTGACCAAGGTTGAGCTCATAATTATTGACCTGTGCAATAAAGATAGCGGCCAAGGCCTCGTAGAGCGCGGTGCCGTCCATGTTGACGGTGGCCCCGACGGGCAGCACGAACCTGGTGATGCGTCGGTCCACACCCAGGCCCTCCTCCAGGCAGCGGAAGGTGATGGGCAGGGTGGCCGAGCTGGGGGAAGAGAGCACAGGCATGTGGCAAAGGTGGGGGACCCTTGGAGACATGGAGGGGCCAGGAGAGGACTGGAGCAAGAGGAGGTGGGTGGAGGTGTGGCAGGGGGAGAGGGGGGCCCGTGGGGTGCAGAGAGAGCCCAGCATTGGGGACCCCGACTGAAGCCAATAACTGAAGACCAGTAGTTTATGCCACCAGTCCACTCCCAGAGGTTGAGGGTCCCCCGCCCGAGGGCTTAGAGAAGCGTACTGTCACCCAAGGCCTCCATTCCCACTGCCCCCCACACAGGAAGCGACCTAAACTCTGCTTCCCTCCATCTCCCCAGCCACCCCCCAGAGAAGGAAAAGGGCTCCTCTGATGGCTGAGTGTGATGGGAGGAATGGGGCAGCCACGGAGGTCAGCTTGCCCAGAGACACGCGCTCTACCCGGTCAGCCCTGAGTCACACCGTGAGGAGCCAGGACTCACGGGCAGGATCTCTGGGTATCCGGCCCCGTGGTGACCTCATGGGTTTAATTTGGGGTACAGTGCTGCCAGTCTCACTTGGGCAGGCACCAAAACCCACATCGCTTGTGGGCAGTAGAAAATGGTGTTTTCTTTCATCTGCTTGGCTCTTGGGATCCTTTTCCAAATTGCTCGGAATTTGGGCAGTCAGAGTTTGATGGGAGCTCCTCATTAAACCCCCCCCAAAAAAACAGGAGAGGGGAGCCAAGAGCCCCAAGGGGCTCTCAAGGGACAATAAGACCCAGGGTAAGGAGCAGCCCTCAGAGGCAGGCAGCCGCCTGCTTCTAGGGACCCGAAGAGCTGTCCATGGCGGGGAGGAGAGGACCCCAGGAGGAGCCCACGGAAGGTGAGGGGGGAGCAGGTGGGAGAGCATGGCCCTACCTGGAGGACGTGCCCATGGCGGTGATTAGGGCCTGCAGCAGGCCCCCGATGAAGGGGAAGGGGTTCCGGTGGGTAACCAAGAAGTAGATGAGGGGCAGGACACCCCCGGCGTGGAGGAACAAGCCCACAATGACGGTCAGCGTGTACATCCCCAGCTGACCCCCAAGGACGGCCATGTCTTCCATTTCCAGAATCTTCCCCGCAATCAGGAACAAGATGCCCACGGGCGCATACCTGGGAAGCCACACAGCCATTAGACGACATCCCCGCCCCCCAGTTTTTTTCAGCACTGGGGACTGAACACAGGGTTTCTCACGCTGACCTGCAGCCCCATCCATTTTTTTAAATTTTTATTTTAAAACAAGTTCTCACTAAGTTGCCCATGCGGGGTTCAGACTCGCAATCCTCCTGCCTCGGCCTCCCAAGTAGCTGGAATTACAGGCCTGGATGGCCGCACCCTGCTTAGGGATCCCTTCCAGCCTCCCCTACAGCTCTGAAGCTGGGATTTCAAAGCTGTTCCCACAGACACCTCGGACCTAGGTGGAGGCTGGTGTTCTGCATCCTGTCCACACCGTACCCCAGTACCCCATATATTAACAATCCATTTCTACACCTCTGTGCAGTCACACTTCATCCCGATGGCAGAAACGGGCCGGTGCAGCCTTTCCACGCCCTCCTCCAGCCCCCCACCGAATCCTCTCGGATTCCACATAATCAGGGCCCACAGGGCCTCTTTCCTAGACCCCACTGACACAACCCCTTCTCGCTGGCCTTCTAAACTTCCATTATTTGCTGCCCCAAGTCCGTTCTCATCCTTAGCCCTAAGGCCCCAATTACTTTCCCGCCAGGAGAGAATTCACTGCCCCCCACCCGGAGCTCTTTCCCTGCTTCCCCACATCTCAGACCAACTCTCCTACCAAAACCGTCTGTGTGTCCTTCACCAACACAAAAAGTACCCACCGAGCACCTCCTGCGTTCCAGACACGCACTCCCTGCCCCACGTCGCCCGCAGTGGCTGAGTACCTGTGTCCTCCTCGGTGGGATCTGTGCTCTTATAGAGAAACCTGAGAGGAGGCCTCCACACCCTCACCACAAGGACGTAAGGGGGAGATGCCTCGTGTGCACCGGAACACAGCCCTCGCCAGACAGCAGAGCCCTGGGCGCCTCGATCTGGGGCTGTCCACCCTCCAGACCCGGGGAGTGAGCCTTTGGGGCGTAAGCTGCCCAGCCAGGGCTATTTTTGTTGTGGCAGCCAGTTGAACCAAGACACAAGAGATGCACGCAGAAACACACAGAGCAGTCCCCTTCAACCCATGGAGGCTGTGCTCCAGGACATCCTCAGATGCCTGAAACCACGAATCCTACCATGTTTTATATACGACAGAGATTTTTCCCGCAGAAAAAGGTAATAGAAAATGCATGTATCTATTTGTAGTCAGTGTGTGCAATAATGTTTCTTTGCTACATGCAGTCGCTGCAGGCCCGCAACACACCTGGACCCGTCCTCTAGCGCCCCCTTCCGGTCTGAGGAAGAGCTGCCTCCTATTCTGTGCCTTTCTGTTTAGCTCTTGATTTATAATTGGAGTTTAATTTACAAAGTAGGCACAAGTAGGAATTCAGTAACGTAATTGGCAAAATAAAAGATAAGAGAAAAGGGGAAGATAGAGCTTTCACAGAAGAGAAGGATACCGAGAGACAGAGGGAAGAAAGAGGAAGAAAAAGTAAAAACAATGATCACTGTGTCCATGCTCCCATTCCCCCCCGATGAACTGTACTATAAAAGCCAATTTAAAGAAATGTCAAACAAGAGACCAACAATGCTACCAATAAAATAGGAAATTATAAAAATGTACAGCCACAAACGTTGTTTAAAGCCACGAAGTGTTTACGTCTAGGATATTCCACCCACTATTGTTTGGAGCACGGTTTACTGTGGGTAACTGAGTCCCACAGCTCAGCAGAGAGAGGTGCTGTACATAAAAATGTTAAGTGGTGAGCCAAGGGCGGTGGCACACACCTGTCATCCCAACACATGGGAGGCTGAGGCAGGAGGGTCGCTGTGAGTTCGAGACCAGCCTGGGCTACAAAGTGAGCTCAAGGCCAGCCTGGACTGCACGGCGAGACCCTGTCTCAAAAAGACAAAAAAAACTGTCCAGTGGTAATAAGTCCGTGAGAGGTCCCTGGAGGGGGCTGCTTCAGAGAGGAGGTCAGGAATGACTTCTTGGAAAAGATGACATAGAAACAGAAGCCTGGAGGGTGAGAAGCCCAAAATCAGGGCCCCAGCATGCGAGGGTTTTTGTACCGTAACACAGTGAAAGGCATCAAAGGACAGGAAGAGAAGCCATCAGCTCAGGGCTCTGTTTACCCCACTTACAAAACACTAATCCTCTTATCAAACCCCTTCGCTGCGACCTCATCTGATCCTAAAGGCTGATCCTCTCCCAGAGGCTGCATGTTCGAATCCAGTCAACACAGGAATCTGAGGATGAATTTTCCCACATACGGGCTTCCGCGGGACGCATTCCAGCCACAGCACCTGGACACCAGCTCTCTGCTCAGTCCTGTGAGTTTCCATCAGTGTCGCCGTCACTCACGCATCCCGGGCTTCCTTTTTTGCTCCTCTGTCTTCAAGAGTCCAAGTCCCTCTGTGGTTTCTCTCATGAATGCATTGGAGGAGACAGGAACCACGTGGGAAGTTGGTGTCACCGTGTGGGTCAGAAAGGAGGCTGCGGGATGCTTTGCCCTGTCACCTCTGTGTCTCCAAGCGGGGCTTAGGGTGCACTCTGGGGTAGGGTTGCAAAATTATCTCCAAGTCTTGATGTCTAGATCTCTAGGCTGTGCATTCCCCCCTCACTGCCTCACCTCCTCCTTCTGCCTCACTCTTGCAAAGTTCTGCAACCCCAGGTCCCTTGCACGTGACTTGGTACTCAGCTACTCAGTACATCTGCACATTTCACCCAACCAGGCCAATCATCCTGCTCTATATCCACAGTCCTCAGTTTGGTGGCACCTCCAATCCTCCCTGTGAATCCTCTGGCAGCCTCAATGACCTCACCCTTCCATTTTTTGGGCCTGGAACTGTCTAAACAACTATGAACCCAGTAAATCTGAAATTATTTGGGAGGTGTCACAGTTTGGATGGGTTCTGATTGCATCCCTCAAGGGTTCCTAAAGGTTAGGTCCTGGGATTTTTGTCTTCAGGGTGGCAAAATTAAAGAGTCAGTGCCACCTCTACAAGGTGGAGCCTGGCTGCAGGTCCTGCCTGGCCCCTTTCTTTCAATCTGGTTCCCGTTTTACCTTGTGATCTCCCGTCCTGCGTGAGCTCTCATTGTGGTGATGCCGTCTGGCAATGAGTAATCACGGCAAAACCAGGAGGCCTGGGCCAGAGCTGCACTGCTCCAGCCCTCTCTGCCCGATGCAGGGTCACCCCCCAACTCTCCAGTTAAGAGTCCACAGGCCTTTCAGTGTCCAGCTAAGAGCTGAGCTTCTCCACAGCTCCCAAGAACCTCCCTTGCACATCCCTCTGTTCTCAGCCGCCTCTGCAGTAGCCGACACTTTGCTAACATGCTTTTTGGTCCAGAACCTCCCACTCGGTGTGATGTTTCTCTCGCGTGCATCCCCGCCTCCTCCCAGACTGCAAGTTCCTCCAAGACCAAGAGTGAACACAGGATATCTCTGGGTTTCAGAGTTTGATACAAAGTCACCCGGGGCCAATGCCTGCTGGAGGAAGTGGCTATGAGGGAGGCAGAATTCAGACAGTGGCTGAATACTACTGTCATGGTTTATGTCTGTGGCCCCCCAGGCCTCATGAGTTTGCATTGTGCATTTGTGATTGGTTCATTGTCTAGTGCTTGGATTGATGGTGTCAGGGCTCCACCCACAAAGGGGTGGAGCCAGGATGTGATGTAATGGCAGGAAGAAGGTGTGTCTTGCTCTTTTGCTGGTTCCTGTTTTGCTGTTTGAAGCCGCCATGAACTGCGGCCCAGCCATGCCCGCCTGCCTTGAGCCAACTGAGTGTGGACTGAAACCTCCAAAAAGTGTAAGAAATAAACCTTTCCTTTCCCAACTTTGGGCTTCAGGTATTTTGTCTCAGCAATGAGCAAAAAGTAACTAAGACACTACTGAGCAAGAAACCAGGGAGAAAGGAGCGAGACAGGAACTATTTGGAAGGAAATGAGAGAAAAATAAATGTACCGATGAATGAGTAAGTCTAGGAAAGAATTCAAATAAGTATCTGATTTAGGTTAGGAAACAATGTAACTAATGTTGTAAATGATGTAACTAATTCCCAGACAAAGTTATGAATGGATGCAACTAATTCTTGGACAAATTTATGAATCGTTGTAACTAATTCCCTGCCAAAGTTATGAATGGATGCATGTGTGAACTAACTGATGCATAGAAGAAATTAAAAATATGAGTGAACGAATACATGGAAGATGAATATGAATGGGAAAGTGACCAATGCGTTACTCGGTGCATAGAAACATAAGTCAACAGCAGATGGGTGAGGTGTGAACAAGCCAATAAATCATTGCAGGAAAACATGATCGGTGTATGAATTAATGAGTGAAAAATTAGCCGATTTGTGGGTGAAAGGCCTTGGTCGAGGTCTCCCCAGGGCCCCTCTGCCTGGCCGATCGGCCCCAGCCCTGATCCTCCGCTCCTTTCTCAAGCCACTGCCGTCCACCCAGGCCCAGTCCCGCACTCACCAGATGATGATGCCCACCAGCCTCATGATGGCCTCATTGAGGCTGTCGAAGAAGTCCCTCAGGACCCGGCCCTTGTGCTTCATGCCACCGATGACCAGCCCAAAGGCCACGGAAAAGACCACAAGGCCCAGCGCGTTGATGCCATTGGCAGACCCGGGCACGGGAACGGTCTCCTCGAAGCTCAGCACCTCCTGTAGGGTGCCCAAGGCCCGCGTGACATTCTCCAGGATGCTAGTTTCATTCTCTGCCGAGGAGGGCAGAGGCACAGAGGTGCCTAGCTCGGATCCATTCTCTGTCCTCACAACGGTCCTGGTCACCACCCTTGTGCTGTACTGGGTCTTGAACTGAAACACAGAAAGACAGAGCCCACATGCTCAGCGGCTACGCCAGAATCACGGAGAGGAATTCCTGAGCTCACCAAGGAGAAAGTCTTACTCGGTAGATCTGAATTTGTGATTCAGTAACTTGACCAAGGCACAGAAGGCATGAATAATGTCCAGCTACCCTGGACATTACAGAACACAGAATGGAGATTCCATAGAAAGCTAGAAATAGAACTTTCATGCCACCCAGCAATCCCACTGCTGGGTACCTAAGCAGAGGACATAGAATCAGCATCTCCAAGCGATACAGAATAAGCATCCCTAATCCAAAAATCCAAAGTGCTCCAAAATCTGAAACTTTTCAATTAATGAAAATCCAAACTGACCTTGCCTGACAGGACACAGACAAAACACAAGTGCACTAAACATATTATATAAAACTGCTTCCACACTATGTTCCTAAGGCATACAGGAAGCAAATGAACTTCAGGTTCAGGCTTGGTCTTATTTGCCAATGTAGGTCATGAAATAAATGCCAATATTCCAAAAAAATTATTTTAAATTTCAAAATCTGAAACACTTCTGGTCTCCAGCATTTAAAGTAAGAAATAGTGAACCTGTATCTGCATTCTGGTGTCTGCTGCAGCCCTGCTCACAACAGTCAAGAAATGAAACTTATCTCAGGGTCCTCTGATAGGTACACGATGGACATGTGCTACATACACAAGGTGGAATACTATGCAGCGTGTAAAAAGAAAGAAATCTTGCTATGGGCAGCTGCATGTGTGGCCCTAGAGAACGGTGTTTAGTAAAGTATACCAAACCTCACTGACACGTGAAATCTGAAACAGCTGGTGTCATAGATGCAAACTATTAGAATGGAAGTCATCAATGGCTGAAGTAGAGGGCAGTGATAGCTGGAAAATAATCTGGAATTCCAGTCAGACAGGAGTAGGAGGTTCAGGGGACCTGCTTCACCACATGTGACTATGCTTAGCAACCTTGTATTGTGTACTTAACATCACTGAAAGAATGGATAGTTTCAAGTTCTCCTAAAACACTTAAAAAAGATTAAATCTACAAGATAATATGTATATTTTTAAAGAGGATAAAAATAAACAGAACAAAGCAGATCAGAAGTAAATAATCTAAGTGACACAGATTTAAAAGCAAGACAACAGGAGACCTATAGTGACTACCATAATGTCTCTTGTTTTCTTCTAAATAGTTGTCTGTATCTTCACACACAGTGAATTCATACAAAACAAAATAGTATAAAACTGATCAGAACAGGGTGATGAAGGCATTACAGGCCTTCAAATCCAGACAACAGGAAAATCAACAATGGTTACCATAATGTCTCTTGTTCTCTTCAAAATAGCTGTCCATACCTTCATGTATGTTGAAATTAAACAAAACAAAACAGGCTAAAATCACTCTGAACAAAGAATAGAAGCATTACTAGATTTCACACATGACGATATGGAATCAGCAATGGATACCATAATGTCTCTTTTTCTTCAAAGTAGCTGTTCATTTCATCATGCATTATATAATCGATTCTCATAAACTGTTTAGGAGAAGCTCTAGGCATGTACAAGCCTCTACATGTATACCTATCCTTTCTGTATTAGAGGGGAAAAAACCAAAACACATTATTGCAAAGCTAAAAAACAAAAAAGATAAATAAATAACAGTAGCAAACAACCCAAACAATGAGACACAGGCCTTCAAAACAAGGTGATAAGAGCATAGTTAGGGTTGTTATTTTATGCAACGATCTTCAAGAGCTCCTCAGATCACCATGAGTTCCTCATTTTGCAACATGCAAAATTGTTCCAGTCCTGCGAATGTAGCTGTTTTGTTCCAAGAACTTATGGAATTTGTAGCACCTTAGCTACCCTAAGTGTGTTTATACAGTTGATAGTATGTATATTAGCTACTTTAGCTCAGCTGTTCCACAAGGTACACGTAGTTCACAGCATTGTGTCAGAGCCTATAGATACATACCGCAGGGCTTCCATATCCATGGGTTCAACATCATGGATTCAACCAACCATGGCTCACAAATACCAGGGCAAAAATTGGTCTGTACTGAACATGCAGAGAGACCTTTTAATCATCCTGCTCCCTAACAATAGAATGTAACTACTTGTATAATATCTGTATTATCAGGTCTTCTAAATCATCCAAGGGCGATTTCAAGTAGACAGGGGGGGACAGCAGGCTTCATGCAAACACTCTGCTGTGTTAGAGAAGGGATCCGAGCAGCTACCGACCTTGGAACCTGCAGGAGACCCTGGAATCAGGTCCTGCCTATACCAAAGGATGAAGTGAATGAAGAAGCGAGTGACCCGCGAACAGAAGCATGAATATAGAGTCTGAGTTTTTTTCCCAAGCTGCTTTGGCAACGCTCGGCTAGACCATGGGGCCTCCGTCTTCACCACCTGGGTCATAAGTGCTGGAATCTTCTCCCAGCCGCAGGCCTCCTCCTGCCATGCCCAGGCAGCCACGCCCTAAGCCATCCCATCACCCTCCTGTGGTTCTCAGACTCATGAGATATATATTTATTCTCCCAGGCTGCTCCAAACGTCCCTTCCCACTCCTCTCTCAGGCCCTCCTACCTACCCTCAGCCATGGAACACCCAATCAGCAGCCTTGCAACACCCACCCAGCAGCACTGGAACACCCACCCAGCAGCCTTGGGACACCCACCCAGCAGCCCTGGAACACCCAATTAGCAGCCCTGGGATACCCAGCATCTTAGGACACCCAATCAGCAGCCTTGGAACACCCAATTAGCAGCCCTGGGACACCAGCATCTTAGGACACCCAATCAGCAGCCTTGGAACACCCAATTAGCAGCCCTGGGACACCCAGCATCTTAGGACACCCAATCAGCAGCCCTGGAACACCCAATTAGCAGCCCTGGGACACCCAACATCTTAGGACACCCAATCAGCAGCCTTGGAACACCCAATCAGCATCCATGGGACACCCACCCAGCAGCCTTGGGACACCCAATCAGAGCCTTGAGACACACACCCAGCAGCCAGCCTCCCACCCCCCAAACTTTGTCAAACTGCATGCTTCACCCTGACCTGTTTGAAGCAGGCCTCCACGAGGTTGGGTGGAAACATATTTCTGCAGAGAAACAGTAGAGAAAGGTATGTAGTTAGACTCTGCAAGAGAACCCGGGGTGATCATTGTAAGGGAGAAAAAAGCCTCAGCAATAATCACAGTCAACCAGGTCAGACACTCAGGGAATTTCAACCATCTGATTTAAACACTGAGATAATTCTAGAAGCCAGTGCCACTGATGCTCTCATTTGAGACACCAAGAAACCTAAGGACAAAGAGTGTACAGAAGTTATCCAGAGCCACACAGCTACAGAAGGTGTAGAAAGGGCTTGCAGGGTTCTGGGTATAGTTTGTCTCCTCCCAAACTCATGCTGAAATTTGCCTGTGGATTGCGGTGGTGGACAGAGGTAAAGCCTTGAAGGTGATTAAGTCCTGTAAGTTCTCACCTCGTAAGTGGAGAATCCATTCACAGATAGTGGATTTACGGGCTCGTGGGGAGTGGCTTTGAATCAGAGCAAGCTCCCTTGGGTATGCTTGCTCTGTCTGGCCACGGGGACGCCCTCTACATGCTATGAGGCCCTCACACAATCCAGTGCGTACTCTCAGCCCTCACAGCCCCCAGAAGCACAAGCAAAATAAATCTGTTCTTCACAGCTCAGTCAAGTATCAGGTATTCTGTGACAGCCGTGGAAAACAGACTAAGAAAGACCAGCAGCCCTGGTCTACGAGAGCCTCCATGTCTTCAAACACACATGCCAAGGGTACCCCCCGCCCCAAATCACAGGGAATCAGAACGTTTCCAAAGGAGCTGGGGGACGCCAGGCAAATGGCAGCTGTTCGGACCCCAAGATGCCACAGCTGCGGCCTCCCCAGGTTAAGGGCATGAGATTATCTGCTAGGCGAGGCTCCCAGAGTAAAAAGCGGGTCACCAAGTTGAGAATTAAGCAAGACTTCCACTCCCTGACCAGGTCCACCGTCCCTTTTGTCTCTTCTTAAATGAGCTGTCCCGTGCACCTCCAGAATCCCATCGACATGGGAAAGAACGTACCTGACCAGGTCCATGAAGGCGTCCGCTGTGGGGATGGTCTCGATTCGGCCCTCCCGGTGCAGCCCCTCCTTGGAGCCCTTGCCAGGGTGGATGATGGTCACCATGAGGATGCCGATGAAGACCGCGATGACCGTGGTCACCATGTAGTAGACGGCTGCCCGCATCCCCATCCGCCCGGTCGCCTTGTTGTCCAGGGATGCCATGCCTGGAGGACACACAGTGCAGTCCCCACGTCTCCATCCATCCACCCCGCCAGCCCAACAACCACCTCCACCGGCAGCCCTCCTGCTCCAGCCCAGAACACACACACTCATCCAACCTGCCCTCCAGGGACCCCTGTGCCACATGGGTGCCTCAGTTCTGCACAGCACTGTTTGTTCCTCTCATGGGAAATCTCCCTCTGACCCAGTGCTCTGTGCCCTCTCTGCACGGAGACCGCAGGTGCCCCACCCAGATGTCCACTGCACCTACCCCTCCTGAGAGCTGGCTGCTAGCCATCATTTAAGAAGAGACCAAAGGGACGGTGGACCGTCAGGGAGTGGAAGCCTTGCTTAATTCTCAACTTGGTGACCCGCTTTTTACTCTGGGAGCCTCAGGCCTCTCCTCCTGAGACCTGCCCTCCGCAGACCCACCCAGAAAGGCCTCGGGGGCAGCCTACAATCAAGGCTTGACTGGTAAGGGGACTCAAGAGGTCAGTTCTTCTGACTCAGGTAGGGTCACAGAGGGTCAGGGTAGGATGGGGCATGTCTGTGATACTGCTCACACTTCACAGCTGCCCACGCCGTGATTTTCATGGATGGCCCCAGTGCTGGGCACTAGCAAACTGCCACTCCATGGCCAAATCAGGCCCACTCTTTGGGTTTCGTGTGGGAACACACGCAAGTTCCACATGGCTTATGGTGGCTTTTGTGCTACAGTGGCTGAGCTGGGTCATTGCCAAGGGATCAAATGGCCTCAGAAAATCAAAATCCTGGTTCTGAAAAACCCATCTTCATTCCTGTCCCACTCCATCCTCCGTCCTGACCTCTCCGCCTCACTCACCCGTGACACCCTCAGCACCCCGTGCCTGCTCAGCCCGGCTGGATACCAGCTCTGGCCACTCCTCCCCCTGCAGTCTTCCTTCAAGTCCTCTGGATAATATGGCGGCACCCACAGGTTGCCATTTTGCTCTCAATCAGAAGTACAAGAACATGCACTAAGGTAAGTGGTGTGGGTCTCCAGGGGGCTGGAACCTGAGCCCAGCTGGGACTGGTTTTAGCCAGGGACCCAGCTCCATGCCCCAGACGTTGAGTCGGTACAGCGATCCCATTCTTGGGACAGCCGTGGTTTGCTCCTCGAACCTGGGCTCTGAATGGGTCTTGGAGGCCAAGCCTGGCCTGGCGCGCTCACCTGTGACCAGGCTGGAGACGATGAGCGGCAGCACCAGCATCTGCAGCATCCGCATGAGCAGCTCCCCGGGGAACGAGAAGTACTTGATCTGCCGGTAGGTGAGCTGGTACGGGCGCAGCGCAAAGGCCAGGCTGACACCTAGAGCCACACAGAGGGTCTGTGGAGGGGAGCGTGGGTCCCCGGCCCCACGCGGGATCCCTCGGTAAAAGCGAGTGTAACGGACAGCGAGAGAGACACATTCTGTTTGTGTGGGGGGGGGGGGTTTGCAGGTGTATTTAGGATCATCAAAGTGTGGCTGTGTGCTCTGGGGAACTCACGCCCTCGTTCACGCGAACCTGGACTTGTGTTTACGAATTCTAGCACAACCTGCCCTTCAGAGCCCCAGGTGCCAAGCTGTGGAGCCAACCAACTATGGACGGGCCGCAGAGCAGCTATGCACAGCGGTCACTGTCACAGGTGCCCTAAGTCACCTGGACTCCAGGGATGGGACAGGCTAGAGCCCAGTACACTACTGTATTTAAGAGACTTGAGAATGCATGGAATTTGGTGCCCACAAAGACCCAGTCTCCCACCCAGGAGACCAAGGGACGATCGTCTGTCCATGCACGTGTGCACGGGAGTTTGCACCTGCACCAGTAAATCCCGTACATGCGTAAAACCACGCTCCTGCTTGTGCGTGCCTCTGCACACTGTGTCTGCACACGCGCGTGGACACGGATCATGTGACGCGGTGTGCGCGCCCCCAGCTGTGTCTGCACAGCTGTGTCCTCACAGGGCACCAGCGCAAGGCGTGCACCCCCAGAACGAAGGGGCGGGGCGGGGCGAGGTTCCCGGAAGTCCCCCTCCCCCACCCCGCCCCGGTGGGGGGAGGGGCCGAGCTCACCGATGACCACTGCGCTGACCGTGAGCAGGATGAAGGCGTGGCGGCGCAGGAAGCGCAGCACGCGCTCGCGGGTCAGCGTCTGCAGGCGCAGGCGCGCGCGCAGTGCCCTCTGCTGCAGGCCGTCCCGCAGCCTGGGCAGCCAGCCCGCCCGGCCCAGGCGGTGGCCGCTCTCCCGCAGGAACAAGCTGTTGGCGTGGCTGCTCATCGTCCACCTGCAGGGAACAGAGGAGCGCGGGCCTGGTGAGGGAGGGCGCGGGGACACACGGGGAGGGGGGTGCGGGCAGAGCGGGGAGCCCGGGGACCCTGGGGCCGGGTCACCTCCTGGCCACAGAGGTGGAGAGCTATTCCCGGGGCAGAAAACCGAGAAAGAATGGAGGCTGCCGGGGCTTCCGGCTTGCAGAGCCCTCCTCGTTTCCTGGGACCCTAAAGGAGCACTGCGGGGCTGGCCCAGGCCTCAGACCAAACTGGCAAGGCCTTGCTGACCGCAGAGCCCTGCACCGAGCGCCTGTGCACCGAGCGCCTGGGCACCCAAGGTCCGCGCAGGTCGAGGTCCCCTCCTGGGGCCTCCCTCCCCCCCCCCCCCGTGAGCTCCCCCACAGACAAAATCACTGAGCTAACAGTAGGCCCCCAGTGCTGGCCGCTGCTCCCCCGGGGAGCAATCACTTGGGGCAGACAGGGCGACATTAAAGGTGTCACCCTGGGGCCAAGGCATGGTGCTGGTTATTTCCCCAAATTCACTTGGTGTCTCCTCTTTACATCTGGCTTTCCCTGCGACCTTGTTTACTTATTTATTTAAAGTTTCGAAAAAGGAAACCTTAGGTCACAACTTGTAATGTTACATTTTTTATTTCTTCCTTTTTTCTTTCTGAATTTTGCCACACAGGGGAGCAAACTCAGTGCCTTACGCCGAGCTAAGTTTCCCAGGCTGAGCTCAGTTTTTGCCCGACCTCTGGAATCCTGAGATTATAGCTCTGTAGCCCATACTGTGCTTATGTGTGTCATAAATACTACGTGAAACTTGCATAAAAATAAAAACCAGCCCATCTTTGTTCTCATCTAAACAGCTCACAGGGGGATAGGGTGGGGGCAAGCTTAGAAATTTTGATTCCCATGAACGGGAGGGACTTTTCGCTTCCTGGATCCCTTGCTCCGTTAAAAATTTTAAAAAGTGAATGAAACTTATATTTCCTAACTGCATTGGTATCAAGATAAAGATGCCCAGTCCTGGCTCACAGTGCTCTGACTTTATGATGTTACAAACAGTGACACAAACAGTGACACACATTTGGTAGAAACTGTACTTTGAATTTGGATCTTTCCCAGACTAACTAGACACCATCTAATAACTTTCTGGGGACGGTTGGGGCCGGAAGCAAACCCCAGCTGGTCGTCTACCCCTCCATCCCTGGGGACACACTGGAACTTGCCCATGGGGGTATGGCTAAACTGAGATGTCCAGAGGCAGATTCAATAATACTTTTGGTTTTTGGAATGGTTTGTTCGTTTGATTTTGCGGTGCAGGGGACAGAATCCAGGGCCTTGCATATTCCAGGCAGGCATACAGATCTCACCACTGAGCCACACTCCCCCTGTTCGGTGCATTTTGACTTAGAGAATCTTCAGCTTATGATGGGTTCCTCCAGGCATCGCCCAGCACAAGCCAAGGAGCCTTGGGGGTTATTTTAGACCCTCAGGGAGGTGAGGACCACAGAGCACTGAGAGTATCAAACACCACTGAATGCCATTTTCCGTCTGATGTTATGTGATGTGAATTTTGCCTCGAGTTAAAGCATGGATTTATTAAAATCCCATTTTAAAACGTTTCCTTTGACCTAAAAGTTTAAGGGGTTTTTTTCTAATTTGAAAAGAATTAAAATGCTTCCTTTGGTCTCTGAAATCATCATGAGCTTTAGACATTGGGCCTCCTGCCCAGGAAGAGAAACAAGGCTAGCCTGGGTGGGTCCCCTGGCCTCCCTGGGCCTGGTGGACGGGAATCCTGCTCCCCGCTCTGCACTGACCCCCAGCCTCCTCGGTCTCCGACTGGCGTCCCCTTCAGCCCGGCAAGTGAAGCATGGAGACCAAAAACAGTTCCCTCAGTGACAGTTCCTCTGCCTGTGGCCGCTCATGGGCCACTCTTCTGCTTCAGCCAAGACTGCCTGGGTCCTCGCCCCGCCTTTTCACCCTAGAAATGGTGACATCTCCTCCCAGACGCTGGTCTCAGTGCTGCCCCACCTCTGGTGACTGCTTTTGGGGTCCACACCTTTGTAAAGTCATGGTGCAAGCCTGTAACCCTAGCTCTAGCAGGCAGAGGCAAGCGGGCTGGGAATCAGAGCCCACCCGGGGCTGATGAGCCACTTAACAAGATGCTGTCTGGAAATTAAAAATTAAACGAGGGAGAGGTGCGACTGTAGCTCAGTGCAAAGGCCCTGTGTTCAATCCCCAGTGTGGAGAAAAGGGAAAAAGCCCTTACCCTGAACTCTTACCTGAGACCTAACCTACCCAGATGTGCTCCAGGGCCCGAAGGCTTACAAGGCGTAGTATGGAATAGTTTGTACCCCAAACCCACCATTCTGTACCATGGAATCAACCAATCTCAGATCAGAAATATGCAAGCTGGAGTGTGTGCTAAGCCCCTGGTCCAGTTCCTAACACCAATAAAAAAATCGCGTCTCTACCGGGCACGTACAGGGTTTGTCTCCATTATTACTCAGCAGTGAACACCACAGCTGTGCAGATAGCATCTCCATCGCCTAGGCGTGCAGTAACAAGGCAGGATTTCATTCTCACGGGAGATGCACACATATTGTGCAAACACTGTGTCAGTTGACTAAAGGGAACTGAGTATGAGGGGTCTTGGTATCCCTGGAGACTCCCAGAGCCAATCCCTGCACAGAGCAGCAGCTGACAATGTATATATCTGCAGGCCTCCTCTGGCCCACTCCCTAGCTTTGCAAATAAAGTTTCATTAGCACACGACCCTGTTATAGCGAATTATACATTATCTATAATGGCCCTCAAGCCACGATGGCTGGCTGGGTTCTTGGAACGTACACGGCATGAGCTGAGAAGCTGAAAATATTTACTCTCCAGCCCTTTAAAAAAATGCTGACACCCCACCCCTCCCCCACGCCTCCCCCACCCCTCGCCCACCCCACCCCCAGCTTGGAGACAGACACCGTGAGCCCTGTCTCTCAAATCCCTGCTCCACCCTTCAGGAACCGGCCTAGGGCCGCTTCACAGCTCACAGGACCCCTAGACCTGATCCTTAGGACACCCCAGAGTGGTCACAAAACAGCCACCGAATGTGACAGATAAATGCAGGGACTCGTCAGCCGTAAAATGGAGAGAGAAAAATGCTGGGGGGGGGGCTGCCTTATTGACTTTGCTCAGTCCTGTCTGCACTGCCCTAAATATACACAGCTGTAATTTGTCAGTTAAAAATGATGCTACGGGCGGGGATCTAGCTCATGGCATAAGCACCTGCCTGGCAAGCACAGGGTCCTGAGTTCGATTCCTGGTACCAAATGATAACGATAGTGCTAATTTTTATTGTTAATCGACACAATGATTATACATATTTGTGGGGTAGGGGGCAATCATTTAAGACATGAACATGGTGATGATGATCAAATTCGGGTAATGAGCATTTCCATCTCTTAAGCATTTATCATTTCTTTGAGAGCCTTTTAATCTCTTTTAGTTCTTTCTAAAACATATACTTAAATTGTAAATTATAATTATCCTGGACAGGGGATAGAGCTCAGTGGCATAGTGCCTGCCTGGCAAGCGTGAGGTCCTGAGTTCGATTCCCGGTACAAAAAAAAATAATTATATATGACGTCTGCTCTGGTCTTACCTCCTATGAGATCAGTTTTGTTCGCCTGCACCTATGACTGAGAACAGATAGCATTTGTCTTCCGGGGCCTAAAGTATAAAAATAACTTTCTGTACAGGAGATGGAGCTCAGGACCTTCACACCGAGCTACACGCTAAGCTCTTTTCTTTTCTTTCTTTTTTTTTTAATCTTGAGACGAGGTCCCCAGAGTGGTCTTGAATTTATGATCCTCCTGCCTCAGTCTCCTCAAGTACTGGGATTACAGCTATAGGCCACCACGCCTGGCTAAAATGATGTCAGTTTTTAAAAACACTTGATTCTCTGGAGTTTCTCAGGACCGTAAAGTCCTCTTGGGCCTTCCTGGGTCTCTACTGGCCCATCGGGATTCTTCCCTGGCCTGGGCCTGGGGGTTTCTAGTCTGTCCAGATTCTAGATCTTCTCTTGATCTCCTTTGCTAAAGTGGCCCCTCCAGCATCCTGGAATTCGAGGTACAACCGGGAAGAGGTAGGTGCTCCCGCAGGCCCCCGGCTGTGGGGCACTGTGTGGTCATTCTGGTGAGCTTGGAACACAGGGCTGGAGGGGAGAGTTTCTCTTTTCTTTCCTTCCTTTGCTTGTTGATTGACTCGGAAGCTGTGCGTTACAACTGCCTGTTTCCTCTCCTGCTCCTTTCTGCCTGGCTTCTGTCTTAGCTTAGCACCCCCAGAATCCCACGGAGGCTCCGTGCGGGGAGGAGAACGCGTTTCTGCCCACTTTACCCCAAAGCTGTGCCAGCCGGAGTGGGTGGGGGAGGGGAAGACGGGGTGGAAATCGTGCACATCGCACACACGGACTGGCACGAGCAACTTCACACGTCTATCGTGTGCAACCGATGTGCAAACCGTCACCAACACGAACTCTTCAAACGCACAGTCCACCCACACCCAGAAGTACAGCTCTGTGCATGCAACTCTAGTCACACAAATCCCATGCACACGCACACACACGCTGCCATATTTGTGCACACCACCACACAACCGCATACACACTTTCACGGCCTGCACAACCACCTTTTACAAGGTAAACTCCATGCAATGATTTTCTAACAGTTCTCTCTCTCTCTCTCTCACACACACACACACACACACACACACACACACACACACGCCCACATACCCTGACGGTCAGACAGCCGCACACAGCTGGCTTTTCCTCCACATGTAAAGTCAGCCTCACTGGCACCCACGCGCACCCACTCACACCTAAGCCTCCTCTGCAGCGATGGTCAAAGCCTCACACCCAGCAGATGCGCCTGGCGCTGGCAGCTTGATCCCCGGTAGGAGAAGAAGCCCTCGGGGAGGGGTGGAGAGAGAGAGGCTGAGGCCCGCGGCTGGGGAGGTGGGGAGGTGGACCGGAGACCCTGGGTCACCATGGAGACGGGACACTCAGCAGGGCGGCCTGGGCGACCACCTAAAGGGCGGGGAGGAGCGGGGATTAAGGGTGCCCGAGAGCTGAGGGCGAGGGCGCAGGACGCGAGCGTCCCAGCTGCCCCGGCGCCGGCCACCCGACCCCGCCTGTCCGGAGCCCCAGCGCGCCGCTGTCGCCCCACTCACCGACGCCCGGAGCGGCGGGGGCGGCCTGCCGGCCTCGGCCTGCGCGCTGCCCCCGGATGCAGGAGCCGGAGCCCGGCGATGCGCCCGGCCGGGGCCGCGGGGACCCGCCAGGGACGTGCAGCGCGGACGGCGAGGCGAGCGACCGCGGAGGCTCCGGCGCGCAGCCGGGACGCGCTGTGCAGGCGGCGGGAGCGGGGCCGGCCGTGCGCTCACGTGGGCGCGGGGGGACCGGGGCCGGGGAGGGGGCCGGGGGGGCGGGAGCCCCGCCGGGATGGCCCCCCGCCTCCCACCCCGCACCCAGCTCGGGCTCCGAGAGCCGCGCGGGAGCCGGGGGACCGCGTGCTCGGCGCGGGAGGGAGGAGGGGACGCGGGGCGGCGGGGGTGGTGCCCGCTCCGGCTCGGCCTCCGCCCCTGCCCGGACCCGCCCCCCGCGCCGCCCGCCCGGGCCCCAACCTCCCCGGGGTCCACGCCGCGCGCCCGGGTCCGCCCCGCGTCCTCCGCCGAGGCCGGCGGCCCGGGACGGGAGCGGCTCCCCCGGGGGCGCTGTGCGCCCTCGGCGCAGCCCCTCTCCCTCTCTGAGCCTCCCTTCGTGTCTTAGCGAGGGAGCTGACTCGGCGACCCCGGAGAAAATTAAAGCTGAGAAAATTAACGCAGCGCGCGGCCGTGGAGAAGCCCCGCGCGCGGAGGGCGCTCAGCAAGCGGCAGGCGGATTCGGGCTGGCGGGATCCTAATTCACAGCTGCTTTTCCACGTCCAGGGTTGCGAGGTGGCGCTCCGCGTCCTCCCAGATGGCACCAGCTTGGTGGCTTCCAGGGCCTTCCCCTCTCCAGTGCGCTAAAGCCTTTTACAGAGCTGAGCCTCCAACCCGGCATCAGCATAAAAATTCCCTGAGGTTACTGTTACAGTGTAAAACCTTATTATTACAATGTAACACACCTGGTTACAGTGTAACACGCGGTTACAGTGTAACACACGTTCGTTATTAGCTGTAATACACTATCCGTGCTGTTATCATTGTTGCTAACTGAGCAATTGTTGGCCGCAACCTCCTGGATTAGGGCGGCTCTTTACTCCTATTCACCCACGCATCCCGTGACGAAGACTCCGTGCCCGAGCTGCACTCAGCTCAGTTAAATCAGTTTCCCTGGGAATGGAGCCCAGGCATAGATGGATTCCAGTATTACCCCACCACCCAGTGATTTGAAAATGTAGCGTGGAGGAACCCAGCTCTAGCTGTCAGATGCCCCAGGGCCACACCCACACCCACAACCCGCTGCCTTCTCCTCAGGCGTCGACTGTGCTCCAGGTTCTGCTCCCTTCTCCCAGCCTGGGCCTGCTCCCAAGCACCTGGCGCTTAAGGTGGTTTACTCCACAAATATTTATTCTGCACCCAGGGTTCCGGGATGTGCTGGAGGCTGGAGATGCAGAGGGAAATATTCGCTTTGTTACGTAAGATAATAAGCGAATCAAACAGCAAGCTAACTTCTGGGTCTTCCTTTAGGCCCTTAAAGATCAAAGAGGACCCCAAAACCCTGTTTCTCAAGTTTAATCATGAGGAAAACATCAGACAAAAAGGGGGGAACACATTCTACAATCTACCTTACTGGTCTCCCCCAAAACCTGTCAGGTTCAGAAGCTGTCACAACCAAGGGGAAGCCGACCACATGGGACAATGTGATGTAAGCTGGGATCTTGGAACAGAACAAGGCCACATGCTGACCATCTCTAATCTGAAATCCTCCAGATCCAAAGCTCTTGGAAAGCTGCTGTCACAGCACAGGTGCAGAGTTCCACCGCACCCAGGTGACGGGTCACAGTCCAAATGCAGGTGCCCAGAAGGGTGTGTGTGTAAGCTGCCTAGGAAAACCAGGAATCCCATGTTTAATTGTGGGTGCCACCCCCAAGGTGCCTCACTGTGATCTGTTGTATCCCAGTGGTCCAAAATCTTGGGGAAGAAATTCAAACTTGAGAATATTTCTGACCCCAAGTGCTGGGTTTCAAGTAAGGGATACTCCACCAATCTATGTCAGGGGAAAAACAACCAGAGGAAATGCAAAGGGAATATGGTCTGTAGTCAATACCCCATTCATGTACTAGTAACCAAAAATTACATATTGATGCCCATGGTATTTAGTTAGTAATGTATCAATATAGTAATGTATCAAGTTCATACCTGTAATCCCAGCGCTCAGGAGGCTGGGGCAGGAGGATCTTTGCAGGCTTGAGACTGGTGTGGGTTACAAAGTGAGCTTAAGGCCAGCCTGAGCTGCATAGTGAGACCCTGTCTCAAAAAAAAAATAATAATAATAATAATGACTGGCATTATTTTTTGTCTTTTTCCTTTTTACTTTTTCAATTGCTTTAAAGTCTAGCTTAATAAAAAGGGGCATTCTCATACAGCTGATCATTTATATTCTTGAACTGTGCATGTATGTGGTAGTCACCACCTTACTCAGTTTTGCTTTCCACAGTTTCCAAAAATATTAAATGTAAAAGGCCAGAAACAAATAATTCCTAGGTTTTAAATTGCATGCTGTTCTGATTCATATGAGATCTCTCACTGTATCAACCCGTCCTGCCCCCTGGAGGGACCCCCTAGCACAGTGTATCCACTCTGTATACACCACCCACCTGTCACTCCTTCAGTAGCTGTCTCCATTATCAAATCAACTGTGAGGGCACTGTGGTGCTGGTGTTGAGCTATCTTTACCTAGAGGCCTGAGGCCACTTTTGTCAATCCCTTCATGTCCTTGTATCATGCCGGTGCCGTATCATGACCCATCATCCCAAGAAGGATGAGTCCAACATATCGAGAGACAGCAAAATCATGTTTATATAATTTTATTACAGTACTTTATTACTGTTTGATCAGTTATCAATCTCTTACTGTATCTAATTCAGAAATTAAATGTCCCCAAAGATGTGTCTGTGCAGGAAAAACACAGGACCTTTAGGATTTGGTATCTTCTGCAGTTTCAGGCTCATGGCAGCCAGTGGGGGTCATTGAACATGTTCCTTCTGGGTGAAGGGGAGCTGCTATATTTGCAAATTCACTTACCCACTAAAATTTATTTACAACCCACAGGGTGTGTTCCCAGTCATTTTGGGACATGCCTGGAGTGATTTAAATATACATATACATATATATATATATATATATATATATATATATATATATATACTATCTCAGTGTATGGTTCTGTAAGGCAATAAGATTTTGTTCTCTGTTAATGATTTTTTCTTCAAATTGTGCACTTTCTGCTGATTTTGCTGCTAACAGTAGCCCCGGGCCTAGTGCTGAAGGACTGGGCATTGCTTCTAAGCACTGGACAGCTGTAATTTGCCTTAAAGAGGGAACCATGCCAGCTAGACAGGCTTCATTCAGACACGAATGGTGGCTGCTGACCGAAAGCCAGTGCTCATGAATCAACCGCACGTGTGCGCTTGTGTGTGTACGTGTGTGTGCATGGTGGTGCTTAGAGCACGTGAGCTCCCTCCAGCCCCCAGAGTGCAGCTCACACTCCACAAACCCCACACTAGGGACCTGGGAGGAAACCCAGCCTGTCCTTACCTTGGACAGAACCTGCTGGGAGATTGTTCTGTGTTGTGTTTCTGTTGTTGTTTCCTGTTGCAGAGCGAGGAGGAAGTTTAAGGATGGAGGGAAAGTCAACAAGGGGAGGCAAAGAGGAGAAAAAGGCTAAGATGCCATCCGTGCATAACCAGCTTCCTACCGTGAGCGTATGCATTAGGAAAAGCAAGCAGCTGTGAACAAAAACTAAAATTAAAAATAATAATAATAAATGGTGCCAGGAAAACTAGATACCTCCATGCAAAAGAGCCCATCCCTGGTATCTCCATGTGGCCTGAGGTGTTCCCATGGCAGCAATCTCCTGCATGTCATAAGCATGACTTCTATGCCAGGCCCTGACCGGGAACTGGCCTGCCTGAGTTTGAAATCCACTCCTCCCTTGATTAGCTCTGTCAGCTTACCATACCATGCATAGTCACCAGGCCTCAGTTTCCTCATCTGTACAGTGGGAGTGACAGGAACCTCTCCGTGCAGTTGGAGTGGGGGTCACACTAAAGACTCAGTACTGTCATCCTCCAGGCTCACAGAAGGGGGAGGTCAGTAGGGCTCGGGCTGTGGGTGAACAGTCCTGGTGAATGCTACACCAGATAAACCTCAGCAACATTAGGCTCAGAAAACAAAGAATCTGGGTTAAAATGGTCGAAGGAACTGAGCAGACATGTCTTGAAAGAAAGAAGGGTACTGTTATGCTTTGTGTCTGCATGTCCCCCAAAGCCTCATGCATGCAGTCATGATGGTGTGAGTGTAACCTGTTCCCCACGTGTGACTGTTTTCTACTCACAGCACAAGGGACACAAAGAGTCTTCTCTCCCTGCCATCCTCCTGCCTCAGCCTCCCAGCGTGTTGAGGTTATGGGTCTGAGCCACCGACCTGCCTGCTTTTGACACTTGTGCTGTCCTCGGCCACCATGAACAGTTGCCCCCTGCCTGAGCTGCTCTGCCTCAGAGCCAGCTGAGTATGGGCTGAAACCTCCACAAACTGTGAGCTAAATAAACTTTTCCGGGCCCAGGGATTTAGCTCAGCACTCCAAGCGCCTGCCTGGCAAGCACGAGATCGTGAGTTTGATCCCTGGTATCAAAAAAAAAGATTAAATAAACTTTTCTGTCCTTTACTTTGAGTGTCAGGTATTTTGTCTCAGCAACGAGAGAAAAGTAACCAAGACAGGTAGACAAGGGGCCAAGTCCATCACCAATCATCAGAGAGCCCCAAGTCAAAGCCACAGTGAAATATCACCTCGTGACGGTTGGGATAGCAACTACTATTTAAAAGACAAAAAAAAAAAAAAAAATAGATCAATCCAGACCTGGTGGCACATGCCCATAATCCCAGCTACTCAAGGATGCTGAGGGGGGAGAGGGAAAGTCCCAAACCAGCCTGGGCTGCTTACTGAGAACATATCTCAGAATAAATATCTAGGAAGAGCTGGGTATGGAGATCATGGGAAAGGATTTACCTCATGTGCAAGGGCCCTGAGGTTAATCCCGGTACTGCAGGGGGGGGAAAGGCCAAAGGAAAGCAAGCACATGGCAAATCACACCTAGAAATAAGTACGCTCTGAAAAAAGGCGGACAGAAAGGTCACAGAGAATATGAGTCTATATGAAATGTCCAAAATAGGTGAATCCAGAGAAATAGTCAGCTGGGGAGGGGGAAGAGCTGCCAGCCGCAGGGGTCAGGGTTTCCTTTTCTGAACTAAAATCAGCATGGAATTTGATGGGGTGAAAGTCACACAACACTGTGAATTACAGTAAATGCTACTGAACTGTAGCCTTTGAGATGGTAAAAATGTATGTAATGTGAGTTTCACCTCAGTCAGACAGAAGTCAGGAAACACCCAGCCCCTCGACACTTAAATAATATTTCAATGCAACAGTGTTTAATACTGCAAATTTGACCTCCAAAACACCCAGTACATTTACCAAAAACACAATCTCTACTACATCCAGCATTAAAAGTGGTAATACAGTAAAACCAATACATAAAAAATCCACAAGGAAAAAATATCAACATGGTAAATAAAGATAGGATCAGAATTCTTAGCGAGGAAGGTCGGTGGCTCGGACCCACAACCTCAACACGCTGGGAGGCTGAGGCAGGAGGATGGCAAGTTCAAACTCGAACAATTCAGCAACTTAGCGAGACTCTGTCTCAAAATTAAAAATGAAAAAATGATCTAGAGATATACAGCTCAGTAGAAAAAACCTGGTTCCATCCCAAGTACAGGGGGAAAAACTCAGAACTGCTGATTTTTCTGTCTCCGGTTCCTCTCTGCTTAGCTATGCGGAGTTACTGATTCCCTTGTTAATACCTGGATATTTTATTTGCCATGATTTTTTTTTTTTTGGCAATTATTTTTAAGGGTCTTTAAATTATTGGAGCATTACTCGGCTAATTGCCGAGTTTGGCATTTTACATAGCAGGCAAATATCTGACCCCGAGAACTGCTGGTTCTGAGCTCCCTCAGAGATGCAGAGGGGGCTCCTGAAGAGGTTAGCATCAGCTTGCAGGGTCAGTGCCGGGTGGGGGCCTGGGTCGGGCCCAGGAGAGGCTGAGAAGCCCCCAGCCGGCCGGCCCAGGTGATCTCGGACCCAAGGCTCACCCAGGGAGCCTCCCTGGCTGCAAGGTGGGGGCCTGGACCCCGGCTGAGCCTCCTTGGCTCAGAGGAGCCAGAGACAACAGAATCCAGGCTAATTCCTCTGTGGGAAACGCTCCTTGTCAATTAATTAGGACAGAGCTAGCCTGAGGCAACCCCGGAGCCCCCAGAGTCATTAAGGGGGGGCCTCTCATTTGCAGCCCGCAGCTTCCCCGCTGTTCCCAGGCCCCAGAGCAGAGGGGAGGGGAGGGAGCCGGCCAGGTCTCCCTGTCCCCTGCCCCTCTCCGCCTTGGGGACCGCCTTGGGGACCACGGTGACCTCACCTTCCCGGGAGGTGTCTGGAAAGCAGAGGTGGAATTTCAGAGGGAGCGAAAAGGGGAAAGTCAGCAGTGAGAGTCTAAAGATCACGCCCTCCCCGTAAATTCACGCTGCTGTTAGGGTTCTGTGAAAGTCAGAATATGTCAGTGCATAAGGACAGAAAGCAGATGAGTGGCTGTCAGGGACGGTGGTGGAGCAGAGACGATTGTGACAGGGACCAGGGTTCCACCGTGGGGTAGGATTCAGTTCTGGACCTGCACGGAAGTCAGGGAGACCCAGCATCGGGACTGTCACATTCCGCTCAACCATGCACTTTCTGTCCATTTTATGTCACACATTTTTTGCAACTTTAAAAAAGCAGCCCCACTATTTGGTCATTAAACAAAGAAGGAACCTGAGCAGGGTGACGCATCCTGTCATCCCGTCACTCTGGGGAGGCTGAGGCAGGAGGATTGCAATTTGGAAGCCAGAGTGAGCCGCTTAGCAACTTAGCAAGGTCCATCTCTAAATAAAATATGCAAAAGGGCTGGGGTGTAGCTCAGGGTAAAGGACCCAGGTCCCATTCCCAGGGCCACAGAGAAGGAAAAAGAACAGGAGGAGGAAGAAGAGGACAGGGAGGAGGAAGAAGAGGACAGGGAGGAGGGAGAGGCTGAGGAGATCCTGGAGCCTGGAGGGCATCATGTTAAGTGCAGTAAACCAGACACAAAAAAAATAAACTGCGCTCCCGCCTAGGTATGGAATCTAAAAGGAAAATCTTCACCTCATAAAAGCAGCCAGTAGAATAATAGGCAGCTGGCAGAGGGAAAGCTGAGACAGTGTTTGTCAAAGGATACATAGTTGCAGTTAGATAGGGCCAATCAATTTCAGGTCTGGTGTGCAGAAAGAGGAGGACAGTCATCGATACAATGTTACAGTCTTAAAAAGTAACCAGGCAGTGTTAAAAGTGCCCAGTCACCAAACAATGATAACTAGAGCCAGGCGCCAGGGCGCTCTGGGAGGCTGAGGCAGAAGGGTCAGGAGATCAAATCCAGCATGGGTAACTCAGTGGCTTAACAAGCCCCTGTCATTAAAGAATACAACTATAAGAGGTCATGCATTTGTTACTTAGCTAGATGTAACCATTGCATAAAGTCAGCCCTCCGATCTGAAGGTTCAACTAAACTTGCATGGAAAATATTTAAGCAAAAGTCACCAGTGAGCACATAGAAGATTTTTCCTGTCAGTGTCCCCTAAACGACAGTAATATATGTAGCTCTGGCTTTGTATTAAGTGTTTTGTTATCTAGTGATGATTTACAGCCCACAAAGGGCTACATGGAGGATCTATGTGACTCTATACAAGGGACTGGATCCCAGGCAGGTTTTGGTATCTGACAAAGGTTCTAGAAGGCTCTAGAAGGTTCTAGAAGGCTCTAGAAGCAATCAGTTCCCTGTGGACACCAAGAAATCACTGTATTCTTCCAGGCCTTACATTGCAATATTAAGTGACATAAACCAGACACACAAGCTTAAATATTGTAGGGTTTTTTTCACCTGAGAAATTCAAAATATAAATAAAAAGCAAAATAAAACATAGGTAACAGGAAACTAGGGGATAGATTCTACCACAAATGAAGAGATCAAGAGGTAGAAAAGAGGAGACATAAAAATGAATTAAGGTTGTCACATACAGGTACCAAACACCCAGAATGAAAGTGGTCATTTGTATATCACAGATATTTATGAATAAATAGATTTTTCTGGAAAAGAAATCCATAGATGAGAAGAACCACATGATGGGCCAGCCAATCACCATGTGTAAAGACTTTTGAATATTTATTCCCAATAACAACCATAAATCTGGATATATTTCAAAAATTACACTTTAAGTCAAAGTTGGCAGGAAATAAATACGTTTTTCTTGTTGTACCGTAGCATTTTGGTAATATAGTGAACACAAGATAGATCCATAGAATGGAGCACATGGATGGAATAAACTATCTGAAGTTATCTTCGAGATCCCTCGAGTTTGGATAAACATAAAAACTGAAATTTGTCAGGAGATAATTGTTGCTGAGGCTGGGTGATAACTACATGGCTATTGATTAAACTGCTTTGTCTTTTTTGTTTTTCATCTTTTTGAGACAGAGTCTCCCTATGCAGTCCAGGCTTGTCTCGAACTCACAGCGATCCTCCTGCCTCAGCCTCCCGAGTGCTGGGATGACAGGCGTGCACCACCACGCCCAGCTACTTTATTTTAAAAAAGAAACCTACCACTTTTATAAGATTAAGACACATAACATCATGTATTCACTTAGTTTTTAAAAATCTGTCTCCTTGCAGTTCATCAACAGTATCTCAACATTTATTAACCCTGACCTGTCTACACTCACTGAGAGAGGTAACCTGGCCCGCCCGCAGAGCTGGGTCTTGGTGGGCAGAGGTGCTAGAATCCTCCACGCGGCCCCGGAATGCGCTCCTCGGTGGCAGGAACCAGCTCTGTGCCCTCTGGCTTCTCCTGGTTTTCCAAACCCCTTCCCACAGCTCTATCTATCAAGCCTCGGGGAGGGTGCCCTCTGCCACCCACTGGGCGAGAGGACACGGGAACGGGGCAGGAAATCAGAGGTGGGATGCAAGCACCTCGAGATACGGAGCCCTGTTTCCCTGAGCTTTGCAAATACTGCATTTTGCACAAACTGGAGTTCTTGAGGACCCTGGCTCCAGAAAATCTATCAATACTGTTTTCCCACAGCCCAGCGGATCATTAGCATTTGGGGAGCAGAGGTGTTTTTACTTAGGTATTTTTTATTTTTTATGCTGTTGGGGCTTGAACTCATGACCTCATGCTTAACCAGGTAAGCATTTGAGCCACCGAGCTAAATCTCTGGCTCCAATTTTTAAATTAAGATGTGCATGCTTTTTTAGGCATAATACACACTTAAGAGACTGCAGTGTAGTATACACATGACTTTTTTTTTCAGTACTAGGGCCAGAACCAAGAGTCTCCAGCAAGTACTCCAGCGCTGAGGCACCCACCGTGTTTTTCATTTACAGAAGGTTTAGACAGGGTCTCACTGTGCAGTTTGGCTGATTGAAACTCTCTATGCAGCCCAGGCTGGCCGCAAACTTGGGAGGTCCTCCTGCCTCGGCCTCCCAAGTGCTACGGTGACACATGTGCACCACTGTAGCTGACTGAACAACTTTTATATAAACAAACAAACAT